AGATGTGTATTATTACCCCGAGGTACCTGTACATGTCCTTTTCTATTATATAACTATCACTAAGTTTCCATTTTCTCAGATGGTTAACCCTTTGGCCTGTAATCAGTACATTTGATTTTTCAAAATTAAAGTTCAGTTTCCACTGTTTAGAAAAATCGCTAGCTACCTTTAGGAGTTTTTCGAGCTCAAACTCGGTATCTCCTATCATTACAATATCATCTGCCCAAAAAAGAGCTCCAATCTGAGTACCATAAATATTAACGCTCTGTGAGCGATAGACGACGCAACACCGTCTGCTGATTGTCGGTGGCTGTCTGTATTGATCATTAAAAACGATTCATTGCATGTGCGTCGTCGCGGTGCGTTTTTATAATTAAATATTCTTTAAATTGCCATCGAGCATAAAAGAATCTCCTATAATACACGACCTGCGTATTTTTCGGTATCCAGGGACAGGTTGTATGTACTACATGGAGTGACTACTTTAGTTGGTAATGTTATTAACAAGTTGCCAGCTTATCTTCTAGTCTTAAGAGATCCATGAAAATCTGCAGGTTTTAAGTAAAGAAGTGATGTGGACCAGACAACATCCATCCTAGATACTGAAACTGTTCATGTGCGTTGTCAGTTCCCATCATATATCTTCAAAATTCATCACTTCTAGAGGGTAATGTACCTAGATGTATGTTATGGTGTGTTATATTGAATTCCTTGAACTAAAGAATCTAGGTATTGAGACTAAGATCGTGGTGATATGGGTACTTAGAGCCTTTGAACTGCCAAAATTTGTTTTTTTATGCGGCTGTTTTGAATATTTTATTTGTTTTTGCATTTTCACAATAAAGATGTACGTTGATGTATTTTAATATGTTTTTTTGGATTCCTTGAACTAAAGAACATAGGTGTTGACCCCACAATCATGGTAGTGTGGGCACTTAGAGCCTCTAAACTGCCAAAATTGTGCTTTTTGGTGGCCATTTTGAATTTTCCCTTCTCGACAAGAACGGTTGGGGTGACATCGTGGTTCCGCTTTTGGAATCAGCATACTCAAAAATCCCCTAGGACAAAGTTTCATGCTTCTTTCCAGAAGTGCTGTTTTTTTTTAGGTATTCTCCGTGCAATTAAACACTTTACACTATGTGTTTATATGACACCATTTTACAAAAACAGTACACAGAATTATTAGAACACGCTATTAAAATCAACAATTCACTAATAAATATTTTCCGTATCATGGCTTATTTAGACGAAAATAAAAATGAGGAAGACGGGACCACAGCACTCTAAAATAGAGTAATTCAAAATTCCATGTATACTACCAAGATTTATGTCGCACTTGTCATTCTAAAAAAAAAGAAGATGCTTGACACGTCGTATGACCTCCTACCAAGTTTCTGGATCCGCCCCTAAAGAATATATTTGTATTTAAAAATCTGATAATTTACTAATTAATTGGGAAAAATTATTGTTTCTCATAATTAAGATTAGTTAAATTGCTTGTTAATATTGTACATTCTACTATTTTCTTGAATAAATTTGTTTATAGGCCTAAATATATCATTTTTATAGGCCTATAAAATATTCTTGTTTATAATATTTATGCTTAGGTTTGTATACTGTATATTTCTTTTGTAGTTTTGTTTTCTTTGTTTTGTGGGTGCATGTGATTTGATAAATATTAATCTACATATTTATTTGCAAATGGTTGGCAACAAAGAATATATCATTACGTTTTCAGCGAACGCAGCAACTGCTTTCACTAGTCTGAGCGTTTGCCCTAGAGGAATGTCCTTGCCTGTTGAGCTATTACACCCGTTTCTGGGTTACGGGCAGCCGGGATATTAAGAGGCAATGTATCTGTTACATTGGTTTCATGAGTGTTCATTATTAAAGTGTAATAATAATTGATTGAGTTTCAGCAACAAACAGGCGGAATACTAATTGTTATTGATCGACATAACTACCTTTTAAACTACTAAATTATTAAACTGTTTATGCCTGATTGTTTCGGTCCATTTATTAAGAAAACCAAGATACTTGTATTTGTTTATTTAATAAATCTGAATAGATAGCCAAAAAGCCTCTATCAAGCATTACAACATAATGACAAAGCAAATTTATTTATATTGGGACAGGTGCCAGGATCTTCAACGTCAAGCTTTCGGCCGTCAATTATTATAAAAGAATTCTTTAGGACTTGTTTTTATAGATATATTGGTAAATAATAGCCAATGGGTTTGGTTGTGAAAACCGGCCATCACAGCTCGTAGCGTTTCGGTCTGCAGAGAATCACGTCAGCAAATGACTGGGCAATGTGCCGCAGTTAAATAACCAATTAAATTTACTGATACTAATGTACAGATATCGCATTTTGAAGATGAATAAAAAAAAGTCAATCAAATAACATTTTGTTGTATAGAATAAATACTTTTTTCATGAAATTCAATGAAACAATTTTGTAAATGACATTTTAGGTTTTATTAAGACCGTCGACAGAGCC